AGCGCTAGCAAGCGCTTGTAAGCAAAATGGCGATCGTAAGCGGTAAGCGCTGTCAAATGGTAAGTAGCTATTTTCCTCTAGGACACGAAGTTAGCTTTAACCGGGGAACCTAACCTAATTTAAATATATGTTTGTAAAGTATTCGTATTAAAACTTACCGATCATAAATTTTTTATAACATGTATAATATGTTTATTCATGTTATTATATTACAACATATAAACTCTACTTCAAAACAAACAAAATAAATAAGCAAAATGGTGGATAGTGTCAGCGCTACTGAAGTTAGCAAACATGTCCTGGCCGAAAACTGTATAGTTTCGCCATTTTGCTTACAAGCGTTTGCTAGCGCTTTTTTTCTGTCAAACGCAGCCATTTATTCATACCGAGATCATTCCAAATGTAGTCTATACCAGCGTGATAATTTGCAATGCAAAACAAAACCTTTAGTGAAATTTTTTTGTACTTTTTGCCACTGTATTTTAATATTATACAAATCAAAACCCGTATTTTAAGTTGTATAATATTGAATCATATAATTTAACATAACCGGCACAGTAGTTAAGAAGTTAACGTTACGTTATGTCAACGTAAAACTTATGATAGTAATACCACAGTATAATAATGAATTTATAGACTGTGATAATACTGTATCATATATTAAAAGAAAATAATGTTTTACAATAAATTACTCATCTTTTCAGTTTCTAAAAAACGGGACAAGAGCAAGTAAGAAACGCGTCTTAAGGGTAAACTAAATTATGTATTTAAATTATTCATTCATCCCGGGAATCGAGGGACTCGACGTTTTTTTGCATGATTTCGATTCCGTAAATTGACAAAGATAGGTAATGTTTCATTTATATGCGATAGGCTTATAATATTTAATTACTTTCACTAAAATAATTTAGTAACTGAAATTCATAAATTATGTAGAATGTAACTACCTGTTACTGTGAAATAGAGTACTTATCAGAGTACATACAGACAAAACAAAAGATGGACTGATTGACATCAAAATTTTCCTATAAGGATTCGTTTTTTTTTGAGGTATGAAATTCTAAAAATTAAAGAATCATGTCCAATCTTGACCTGAAAATTTTCTAACGCGTCTAATGATGTAAAATATCTTATAAAATCGCCTTTATTTTGCTTATTTTTTTCCGGGCGCGGATTGTTCTCCGAGGCTTGCTTATCGCCATAATAGAATTTTTCAATAAAGCCAGGAAAAAAAGTAATATTAATATGTCTATCATTATCAATTGACATTTGGAGAAGGAACGCGTTTAACAATGACTTAAAAGCCCAGAAGAAAAAGTTTTTTACACATTTCGTTTCACAGACTACGAAAACCTTATTAATTTGTCATGTGTTTTATGAATGTTCAAAATAACCAATTGTTTTTTGTTACTTATCTTATTATTTTATGATCAGATATGCTTTTTTGTGATTTTATACTATGGTGTGGAAGTTATTTTTCTTTCCACGGCACAGTACCTATACCATAGTGTACAGTGGACTGGTTATAATCTGTAAAACTTATTTACTTTATAGCATTTTCCCCTGGCCTCTAAATAAAAAGGTGATAAGTTATTACGTTATTATAAATAATAATTGATTTTATGCAACAGTAGTTGTAGGTAGACACGACCTGTATAAAGAATCAAATGACAGGTCAATCAGTGTATGGAAAGTGGTATATTCTTTAAACCTTAGTTATTCGAAACGGTTGTATCAGTCATTTAAGTTCATCTGATTTTGATAGAACATACTTATCTCTTGCATATTAATAATATTTCTTTTAGTTTCTATCTGTCATATCGAAATAACTGCTTTTTATTGACTCAGGGTGTTATTTGCGTGCTATTAAGATATGAATAACTATTTTAAAATAATGTCTCTGTATGTCTGTCTGTATGATAAACTTCGAGAACAGATAGGAAGCAATTCCAGGAGTGATCTAGTTTACGAGTATTTTATCAGAAAAGCTTGTAGAAATATGACACCTAAAAATTAGTAAAATAAATGGTATTTGATGAGTTTTTTTAATATAAATGACACCACATTAATAAATCTCGCCCTCGCGTAGTCAGGGCTCGCTCGTATTACAACATAATGTTATAAAACTTATGTACTTTATGTTGGTATTTCAGATACTGAAAAGTTACAGGTAGTTTTTAAAAAAAAAAAAAAAAGAATGCTATGTTCTTCCATAAATGGTTATTCCTTGTAAAACATAATAATAATAATTATAATGTCCTCCAGACCGAATTTCGGTCACGGCAGCCAGTCTCAACGTAGACTAGCCATCTGCGCTGGACAGTTATAATGCTCCAGTCTATGCGCAAGCACAGGAGCACTATTCCACCACTGTCATAGTCCGATGGGACGGTAATTCGACACAACCTGAAAGTGATCAGGCGCAGCACCGACGACTTTACGTGCTTTCCGGAGCACGGCGGTGAAACACCACCAACTTTTTAACTCCGGGTTGCTACTGAGAATTTCTTGATAGAAAAACCCAATAACTGATTTTGTACTGACTCCAGATTTGAATTCGGAACATCATCAGCAATCGCATTTACGACCACTAAACTGACGAGGCAGGTAGGTTGTAAAACATATTATAGATACAACTACCATAAACAATGTCTTCTATAACAAGTAACAACTGTAGATGAATCTAATTAATTTAAAAAAAAAACGAAATCAAAGCAACATACACGTAAATTATAACAGTGCAAAACCTACACACTTTAGTTGAAACGATGGCTTTCTACCTCCGTGTAGAGCGAGGATGATGTGGTTAGCTCTAAAAGCCTTATTCGGTAGAGGAATCTAAATCGGACTTCGGTTAGTGGCTTTGCGAAACAGCAGGCATGAAATTGGATCGCACAGTTGGACCCAAAAACCTCTATAGAGTTATATTTCACTGAAAAGCGTTAGTTGGGAACAGGGTAGCTAGTTAAACACTTAATTTATAGCTTTCATGTTTGAAAGTTTGCACTTCAGTACAAAAAGTCCAGCTTTATTAATAATTTTTGTCTAAATGCCTCTCTGTGCATCCACCGTTTTTCAAAAAGGGCTAAATTGATATCTGTAAATATTATTGTTTATGGCAACATACTTAGAAATGCAATGCTTTCTTTTGTTCCAAAATAGAGGCCTTATCGCGGACGGCACTAGATACATTACATGCTGATGAAAATTGTCATTTGTGTGTGTGTGTATATGTCAAATTGTAGACCCGAGAGTATTTCACATGTTTTCATTGTAAAATTAAATCCGTATTTTTTATATCCGTAGGCATTATTAAAACTGACACAAATATGCTATCTCATCATAAATTTATTTATTTCTCATCATACATATTTAGCTTTAAATACAAAATTTAATAATAACATTCTAAGTCGTGCTTTATTAGTCTACATAATCTACAAAAAAACAGGTGATTTTTTTATTTCCTTAGTTCAAAAGCGTGACTATTTTCATCTTAACGATTTTTTAAGCTGGATATTGACCATTCATAGCAAAATGAGATTTTCCAAAATGTATGGAGCCTGGGCCAGGTCCTTGTACACTATACTCAAAATTAGGAAAACATATTTTAAACGGTTCCCAAATTTTCAATTATTTTAAATGGCTTTGTTTTTGCTGGTAAAACACAGAAAATTACACTTGAAATTGCAACACACATTAAAAACACGTCATGGTGGTAAGCTGTCATTTTTATTGATTAGTGACGTTTGACATATTTATTTCACGTATTTTTGACACTGTTGTGACAACTGACAGTACTCTTTCTACGATCAATGGTCGCTTTTTGGTTTACTGTCATTGTCTGCAAGCCCAGAGTAACTAAATCGATGACACCATTTTGAAAGTCTATAAAAATAATTGATAAACATCAATTGTTAATCAAAATACAGATTTTTCTCTTTTGAGGTAGTGTACATAGACATGGCCCATTTTGAAACATCTGCTTTTGCGTTATTCCACTGCTTTTGGTAGGTTTTGACGCTGACTACTGCTGCTGACCTTACCTTTGACGCTGCACTTGTTGCCGGTTTAACAAAAACGAGTTGATTATAACGCCATCTATCGGAAGCATGAGATTTTTGCTGGGCGTAATTTTTTCTCTTTGACGCACCCTACGGCAATATTATTTATTATCAGCCCATATTAAGTTCACCTCTGGACCGTGGAATTTTCTCAAAGCTTAGATGATTTGCATTAAATTCACTTGCCAGGCAAACAAAAAAAGCAAAAATGTATTAGCCGTTTTAAGCTACTCGCTTTATCCGTTTCTTCCCTGATTTATTATTCATGAAAAGGACCTCTTCTGCCAGCGGCGATGATGAGTTGTGAATACAGTTTCTTTAGAAATTACACCTTGCGGGGATCTCATTGACCGCTCGTATCTACAGCAAACGATATTCGGGCATATGTTTTGTTAATAATAAACTACTTTGTTATTTAGCGGCAGTAATATTTTTAAATAAAGCAAGTTACCTGAGTACTAATTGCCTCGAGTCATACTTTTCCTTTCCTTATTCAAAGTTAAGCAATTCAAGATGAATGGAAAACCGATCAAGTTTTGAAATTCTGGAAATTAACTTGGCGATATTGTCACTGATAGTGTTTTTTATAGATTGGCAAATTAGCACACTATCCACCTGATGGTAAGTGGATGCTGTGGCCATAGGCATTTACATCCCTGAAATCTAAGAGGGAATGCTTCGTTTCCAGCAAAAAGGGTCTCCGATTCTCTTCACTCACCAAACAAAACACAGCACCATCACGCGGGTATTATGTGAGAACATGGTCCTTCCCTTTGGCTGCATCATGACTCTACCAACCGAAAATTAATTTGTATAGTAAAACTGTGAATTACTGAATTATTATGGCAACATCGTTTATGACTGTATCAACAACAAAAAAAGTTATCAATGGTGATGTTATTATTATGATTATTATTAATGTTAATATTTCTTCTAAAGGTCCTGTTTGCGGTGGACAATGTTGCGGTCGAAGAAGGGAGTCGCAGCTCAGAGACGTTCTCAAGAAAATGATGGAGGATCGGGCAGTATCGGCAACGAGACCCATAACGGAGTTACTCCTCGCTACGAGGCGAACGTTACAAGGTATTTGGTACTAAACTGATTGAGAGGAGTGGATACACCATAGATTGCATAATAATTCTATGATGAATACAGTTTGTTCATAGCATTTTTTTATAGAATAAATGTGACAAATGAGCACACAGTCCACCTGGTGGTAAGTGGATGCTGTGGCCCATAGATATCTTATCTATCCAAGATTAAGAATCAAAATGCAGATGCGTTGACACTTCTGAGGACTTACATAAATGCCTCATTTCCAGTAAAAAGGGTCTCTGGTACTCTACCCTCACCATACGAACCACTATTATGGTTTTTAGGCTGATATTTTGTAAAAGCGTGGAACTTCCCCGGTCGAGCCGACCCGTTCGTGCTGTGACCATAATATAGCTTGAGCATCGCTAAACCACGTTATCACTGACGAAAAAATCGCTGCTTAAAAAGGCTATTTTTGTCATTACCATCATTTACGCCCATGACAAATCAAATGTCGAACATGGTACTACGTAGAAATGCCACAAAGTATTCGAATTCGATTCCCTCTGCAACTATTAAATTATTAGTTGCAATGGCGACAGCTACGTGGCGCAGTGGCAGTAATGAGTTTTTTATAATTGCAGCGTTTTTTAGCCGCGGGTTCAAATCCTGCACGGGACAAGGTATTTTTATGGTCAGTAATAAAAAGTATTTTTAAAAGCGTGATTTTGTTTACAATAAATGAATATATTTACTCAATAACAAAGGAAAAGGAAACAATTTTCAAATAATTATGCAATGGGTTATTTCATTTTATAAGGCATTCTAACACTTTGTATGGAAATATTTTATGTCTGTATTACCATTTGAATGATACTTTGTAGCTGAAAACATTGTGACTCTTGAACGCAACAGTCCTGGTGGGAGGTAAACGTAAAATATTGACCATAAAACTGACAACACAAAACAGAAATCAATGCATTCCTTTCGCTTCGTATAGGTACATAAGAATTAAGGATGCAGGGTTGCGGGCCATAGTATTCATCTTATTTGAGAGATAGTAATGGAACATACAGTATGTTGGCAGCGTGAGAGAATCTGTCACCCTATTTCGTTCCGTGTGTGTCGTAAGGAACAACTAAAGGGAATGTGAAAAAGATCTCTCGGTCCCCGATAGATGGCGGTGTTTCCATATTAGATGTAAGAGGCGTTGAGGCTGACCGCCGTGACTGAAATTCGGTCTGGAGTACATTATTAAAATTAACGGCCCTACGTCTAACGTAAATAATACGACTATCACGCGTTCATTCATATTTTCAGCCAAGCTTTGAGATCTCATGGCGGACCTTATAAAAAGCTGACGGCCTTTTACTTGTCAGACGTACAATGACAAAAAATTTTTTGGTACACCTGGCGGTAAGTGGTGAAATAGCCGAAGCCGACAAAGCGTACTGGCTTAGCTTTAAAAAAAGCCAGCCAGTACGCTTCGCTACGCGCGTTTTTTGGGAACCCACGGGACGACATGAGGTAGTGGATATTCTAACACCGCCACTACTCTGTTTACAATACCAAATCTATATTGAATAAAAATATTCTGTTATATTTTTTATAGCATTGGGTGACAAACGAGCACACAGTCTACCTGATGGTAAGTGGATGCTGTGGCCCATAGACATCCTACATTTATCCTCGATTAATAATCAAAAAGCAGATGCGTAGTTACCCTCACTACTAGGGACTAAGATGTAATGCCTCGCTGCCAGTAAATAAAGGATCTCCGGATCTCTATACTCACCGTACGAACAGACAGCAATATTAATTAGTTAGTTGCTATTTTACGCTGGTATTTTGTGAGAGCGTGGTCCTTCCCCGGTCGAGCCGACCCATGCATGCTATAACCATAATATAGCTGCAGCGTTGCTCTAGCAAATATAAAGTTTAAAAATATTCAGCTACAGTAGCAGGTCCTACCCGGAACTAGTATTTGTGTGGCCTATCCACAATAATTATTAACGGTCCGGGTGTTTAGAAATGAACAATGTGCACTCCATATATTTTCCAATAACAATGTAAAGCAATTATGATATAAAGTATGTTTCCTAAGAAAAATATAAACAAACAGCACTAAGAAAATAAATAATTCATAGTCTCCATCATAAGCTCGTAAAGCCCGACGATTAAATCACGCTATAAAAAAATTGTTTATTGACATACACAACGATATACGCAACGATTCCGGTTCCAAATGTAACGGATCAAAGCACTCCCCAGGGGCAGCCCTACCGCAACATGGGGCGTTTAGAACGCTTAGAACAATAAATATTTTTGGCCCGAGGCTGGACTCATCAGCGAACGGCTGTTTGACAAACACTCCCGAAGCTCTGACAAATTGGACACTTTGTATATACGTGTATGACGAACGTGCCCGTGCTCGGTAAACACAATGAACACGGTGATGACAGACTTGATATTATGAGACATTGTTTTCCGTCACGCCCCTAACATTATCTACAGGTTGTTCTTTAATTCATTGGTACACTTCTACATAATGTCATTCAATAGGCACGAATTACAATTTTACCACGTTTTTATTAAGTCACTTTTTTGTTTGTTTAAATGTCTGTCTGTCGTTCGCGGTGGAATCTTGTAACACAAATTTTGAGCACTTTCCAATGAGCTCGATCCCTGAAATTTTAAATATAGCTCATAATCGGATGACAATGTAGAAATACGTGGTCACCACTAAGAAGGAACACCTCTTTACTGGTAAAGAAGTGTTCTATGTGTCACTAAAAGCCTTACAATGAAGCAAATAGTTGCAAATCAAAAGAGATCCCAGAGGGTCTCATAGTTCATGTAAAACCCCGATTGCTAACAGAGAAAGGGCCACGAGGCCCTCTAAAACGAAATTTCAAACACTTAGCTGGAAATGGTTCGGATTAACAAAAGAGCTTGCTGCTGTAAGAACTGTTTGCTGTCACGTGGAGAACATGATTAAATGTGCAAGGGGATTCCAGTACAAAATGCGTGCTATGTATGCTCACTTCCATATATACTGTGTAACCACTAAAGGCAACACTTTGATTGAGATCCGTAACTTCCTTAGTGAGAAGTACATCAGAAGGGTAAAAATAGCACCTGGTGTTACAGTCATCAACTCAACCAAGCAGCAGGATGAGCTGATCATTGAAGGCAACTCAATTTAAGATGTCTCCAGCTCAGCAGCACTAATACAACAGTCCACCATGGTCAAAAACAAGGACATCAGAAAGTTCTTGAATGGTCTATATGTATCTGAAAAGGGTACTGTGGTAGCATAAGAGGTAGATAAGATCATTAAACAATAACTGAAAAAGAGGACTCTGGTTTCGTCGCTCAACCTATGATATAATCTAGCATTATGTTTAAATTTTACGTTGGTATTTTCGCAAGACTTATCCTTCTACGGGCGAGCCAAACAAGGAATCATTGCTATTATAAAATATTAGTTGTACAAACCAGAAATTAAATTCAGTTTTATCATACTCTAATATTACCGATATCTGTATCGACTTGCGTGTTATGACAACGATCAGAAATAAACGAATTTATTGCTTTCCTTCCCGAAAATGAAACGTATTAATGTTTCATGAAACTCCATGCCACAAATCAGGTTTATTTATTGAGTTTTTATGCATCATAAAATTTGATGTCAATCGTTATGGACTCGCGAACGGCTTCTTATAGCAGTGTTATCGTTATGGCATTAAGATAGAGGCTACATTGTTCTACTATAACTAGGTACGTCCATAAAGCGGAAAAAGGTGGGGTGGAGTTACTCATTATCAAAATATTATGTAGTTTTAAATTTTATTATAATATAATGTTCTCGTTTGATACAATATTTATTACCATTAATGTCCTCCGGACCGAATCACAGACACCGGTGGAGACCAGCCATCCGCGAAGTATTAAAACACAGTGTAGTCTTGAAATCAACTGAACTGTTTTTATTTTACCACAGATAAGGTACAAAAAATTTTGGTCATAAAGTGAACGACAAGTGGCGCTAGTAAATAACATAAAATTACTATTTTGTTATCTGTATCAAACTAAATAATTAGTAACTTGCAGGACTAGATTATAGTGTACGAGTGTGTGTACAACACTGGTGCATTCTCTATTTCCTCATTCTCATAGTCCGATGGAACGTAAATCCGATACAACCAGTGTTTAATTTTTAAAGATTATCTAATCACCAAAGCAGCAGGGTGGCCGCGGGGCCTATAAGAAAAAAGTATTTTACCCTTTATGAATTTCTTAAGTATTACGTGTTTGTAAATTTATATGGAGTATTTTTTGCGCATGAGTGAACGTATATTATTTATTAAATTAAAGGTATTTTACCCTTTTTGAATCTCTTAAGTATCACATGTTTGCAAACTTATATGGAGTATTTATTTCGCAAGAGTAAATGTATATTATTTATTAAATTAAATATATTTTTACCCTTTATTAATCTTTTAAGTGTTACATGTTTGCAAACTTATATGGAGTATATTTTGCGCAAGAGTAAATCTATATTATTTATTTATATATTATTATGGTTTTAATATTATTTGGTTCAAATGTGTGTAGGCAAATTATTATGGTAGGGCAATCATAACATGTTGTATAACAGTTATTTAAAAAAGTTGAGAACTATCGTGATTGAAACACCGGTGTTAAAACACAAATATGGAGCTTAAGTGTTATTTGCTTATACAAGATGAGTCTAAAATATAACATTATTGAGAGCAACGACCGCTTTGCAATAAAGAGTTAACAGAACAATGCGCGCCACTCTTCACCCTCGGTTATACGCGGAAAGGAAATAATCTGAGAGTGCTAGACGCCGTCCCCTTTTACATCATTGTGCCCCAGCCGACACTCCATAGACCTCCCTCGTGGACCCTAATTAGGGTACTAAAATAATTTTACCTTTGCGCTTTGAAGGTACCTAACACGACCCGCATAATTATGTTAATACAGCAATTGATATTAATGTTCTTCATGACCTTGCCGCCTAG